TCCACTAGCTCGGCGTTTGTGTTGTTCAGACACCGATGCCGACCTAGGGGATAACGGGCTGGAGTACGACTCCCAAGAGTCAGGAGAACGAAACGGGGTCAGGAGCCGGTCTGATATTCCAGGGCGGTTGCCCCATAGACAGATGCCGAGCCCGATAATAATATAATATCGCCACTTGGAGAGCAATCATTGGTGATTGGACGGCGCGCTGTAGCCTGCGGGCATACATCCACTAGCAAGGACATAAAGCCTGCCAGCATTAAATGACCCCCATGTGTGCATTAAATGCCTGCCAGGCAATGATGAAGAAAAACCTCAAATCGCATTAAATTCTGTCAGGGAAGCACCGGACTGCCCTGCCAGAGTACTGTACGACAAGACTGGTGAACAGTACCTGAACAATGCCACATTTAAGGCCACTATAAATAGCATCCCATCTCATTTATTTCTAGGTTGTTGAATCTCCAACTTTCAGACTCTCTCTCTACTTTCTCTCTCTAGACTTGTAATAAATCTCTGTAAGAATTTGTAAAGATATCACAAGTGTCGACCTCGTACGAGAGGCCGACCCCGTGATCTAATAATAAAACCATAATTAAACCGTATCTCTTTGTCATTTTCTCATTCCATATCTCCATTACTTGTTTCTTTAACCGTTGACCGGAAACGCCCGTCAACAGGGCTAATGAAATGCACAAAGGATTAAGGAATAGAGCATATAGTTTTCACTATATCGGTGGACAATCCTTCTAACAATGATGTCGCACTTCGCATAGCCAAAGAAACATTTTCTAAGAGTCGAAAGTTGTCGTTAGATGGTAAGTCATTCCATGTGCGGTGTGTTGCACACATCTTGAATCCTATCGTTCAAGATTCTCTGAACATTATTAGAGATATTATTAAAGCCATCAAAAATATTGTGTGGTTTATTAATCAATTGGAGTCGAGGTTGATGAAGTTTTCTGAAAGTGTGCATCATTTGGGAATTCCAGTAAAAAGGCTAATTATAGATTGCCCCACTTGTTGGAACTCTACATATGAAATATGTTAGCTGAAGCTATTAAAGTTAAGGATGCATTCCCTATTTTTGCACAAAGAGAGTCATTATATGATTGTTGCCCTAGTTCGGATGATTGGAAGAAAGTGCTACATTGTAGAAATTTTAGGAGTGTTTTATGAGGCAACTCATGTTATAGCCGAAACTAATTATCCCACTTCTAATGTTTTTCTTGCAGTAATTTGGAGATTTAAACATGTCTTGGACGAGACAAAAAATTATCCTAATGATTTCATCAAAATAATGGTGAAAATGATGAAAGAAAAAATTGATATATATTGGGGTCATTGTAATCTTTTGATGGGTATTGAGAAATACTTGATCCGAGGTTTAAAATGAGGCTAATTAACAAGAAATATAATGAGATTGAGGCTCATGCGAACATAATCAATGTTCGGGATGCATTATATGATTTGTTCTTTGAGTAAGAACATGATCATTTGCGGACTCGAAAAGGTGTTATGCCGACTAGGGATTCATATCATGCTACTTCAAACTCAATGCCAAATGAAAAATCGGTTCCCTCCAGTTTGTCCATGTACGATGATTATTTGGATACCGTGGAAGAGCATGCACCTATGAAGTTCGACTTGGACAAGTACTTGGAGGAAGGGTGTATAGATGTCAAGATGGGGATGGGGCCACTACATATGATGCTTTGGCTTGGTGGAAATCTCAAGAGCTAAAGTACCGTATTTCATCCAAGTTGGCTCGTGATGTTTTGGCTATTCCTTAGCACAGTGGCATCAGATGCCACTTTTAGTGCGGGCATCAGAGTGTTAGATCCTTATCGTTCTAACTTATCATCTAATATGGTGGAAGTTCTTATTTGTGGAGCAGATTGGGTTGGCCAACTTCACGAGCTTAATAAACCAAATATGACATATGTGCTCTCTTTCTATAAATTTCCATTGTAGTAGATAATTTTTTTTAATGAATCATGCCAATGATTCGTAATAATCTTACTTTATATTTTCGTAGGAGAAAAAAGAGCAAGTTGATGTCCAATTGAAAGCATGATGAATTGTTAAATTGATGTTGGAGTAAAGTTGTTGATTAATGTTTTTATTCTTTGTAGTGAATATGACAATTATCCATAATAATTGTATCTTTTATCTTTGTAGGACGAGAAAGAGCAAGTTGAGCAGTTCAAAGCATGATGAATGTGTTGTTGTATGAAATTAACAACTTGAAATTAAAACAGCAAGGTGTGCTTAAACAGAAATAAGAAGATAATCTTATATTACTGATGAATTCACACTAGTACAGGAAGTCGGTTTTTTGATCTTGACCGAGATCATTTTAAGTCCGTGTATAATGTGCGAAAAAAGATCCTCGTACAACTATAAATTCTGCTATTTATAGTGTGGTTGTTTTTGTCTTTTTGTCCGAGGTAGATAAGATCGCATTTAATGTTGAGCAGCTTCAATAAAGCGGTGTGTAATGGAACAAGGGAACATCAATGATTGCTTCTTGTTTTGATGGTCCAATCGAATGTTTACAGCTCCTTTTACTTGGATATTTGATCCCCTCGGAAGTCGGTTAAATGGATAATTTTTAATACGGCGAATCACGATATCGGTGAAGTCGGTCATCGGCCTCTGATAAATAGTCGATTCTACTTTTGAACCATCTGGAAGTCGGTAATTAATTTGTACCGACTTGAGCTAATGTTCATCTATTCCTGGGGGACTATTGATTAAACGGGGCGATTAACCTTATGGATGTTCAAACCCTCCTTCTCCAAGTCGGTCATCAACAGAATGGCTAAATTGATGATGTTCGAGTAAAGTTGATGATGAATGTTTTGTTGTAGTAATTTTTTTTTTAATTGTGTTTAAGTAATGTATTTGAATCAAGGTTTTGAAAACCGGATTGGTCATCAAACCGGTCAAGCTACTGATTCAATGGTTCACTGGTCCTACCAGTGGCTAAATCGGTATTTAATTTATTAATATGATTAATATATATAATATTTTACATAATAAAATTTACGTATAAAAGTTTTATTAATTAAATATTAAGTCAATTTAAAACATTTAAATACTTAAACTAATTAATAATATATCCATTATATAAGTATGTATTTTTTTATTTGCTGACAGAAATTAAAAATGAAAAATAAAAGTGGGACGAGCCACTTTCTTTCATTCTGTCAAAGACAATAAATAGTTTGGCATCACTGTCCCACATCGCTGGAGAAATCTAAAACTAAGGAGAGAATGGCTATAAAATAAAGCACAAAGACATCTATTTTTTTTTTCTTTTTTTTTAAAGAGGATCAATAATGGTTTCCCACTTACCCCTAGGGTTGGTATCGATTCGGTTACCGAACCGATAAGGCCAAACCGATACTGAACCGATTATTGGTAACTACAAATATGAACCCGTTACCGAAACGTTTGTAATCGGTAACCGAATTTTCGGTTACCGATAACTCGGTTCGGTAACGGTTTCCTACCGAAAAAACCGAAATTTACCAATAATAAATGAGAGGGCCGATTTTTTTTTTTTTTTAATGGGTGAGATGAGCATGCATGAAATTAATACTCATCAAATTTTGATTATTGTACTTATACAGTGATTAATAGAAATATACAAACCATAAAATTAATCCACAGATGCGCAAAGTGGTCGAGCATACTACGACTTTTGCTGAGGGAAATTTGTCTGCGAATTGAGCATCCAATATCCATAATGAACGCCGGCAACTGTTGAATTTCTTGAATATTTCTAATGATGGTTTTCCACCCCTGAATATTGCTTAGTAATTATATCCAAAAGTTGCTTGCTTTATTATGCATTCACAAGCTATATAACATAAGTTATTACTTATTAGTTATTAGTATTAAATTATTAATTATTAGTATTAAGTTATTAACTATTAACATTATGTATTTTTTTTTTTAAAATTCCTTATCGGTTCGGTTCAGTAAAACCGAACCTCTATGGTTTCGGAACCGATACCGTATCGATAACATATCGGTAACCGATAATCGGTTACCGTTTTAAGTGAGTCAGTTCAGTTAGGTTTTTTTTCTCGTCGGTTCGGTTCGGTTTTCGGTCCAAAAATGTCAGCCCTGCTTACCCCTGCATGACTCAAACTCGTGATCTATTGGTCTCAAGTGAAGAGTGCTCCCAACTATGCCGCCCCTTCTCGTCGCACAAAGACATCTACTTATCTAGCCCTTTACGCGTGTGAGACAACTTTTAGTATAAAATTGAAAGTTTATGGCCTACATAGCATGTTGGGCTTGAAAGTTATGTTTGGGTTGGTTCATTTTGAAATCTGAAGTCCAAGTATTAAACTTACAGTCCAAATGGAAAACCGTTGGCCTTAACGAACCGTTTCCGATTTTATCGGATATCTACCGATTTGAACGGTTCGTAAACAGATTTTGAATCCAACAATTTTATACCCCCAAACTGAACCGATGTTCTGGCCGGTTCTCGATTGCACCGACAGAACTGGCCAGTCCGGTTCGGTCCTGTTTTCAAAACCATGGTTTGAATTGAAGATAAGAACTATGAAGTCTGTTATGTTCAGGTATTTTGTATTTAATATTTTTAAGATGAATTATGTCTGTAGTTTTGAAGTTGGTTATTTTATTATTGAATTCATCAAGTTATCATGGATGCTTATTTATGTTTTATTCATGGGTTCAATGTCTTTGTTACAAGGAAAAACATATCAACATTTTTGTAAATAAAAATATTTTTTAGAAAACAAATTTCGAATCAAAAATTGAATTCGTTTACAAATCGAATATGAATTCGAATACTCGAATATTCTTTAAATTCGAATCGAATATGTTACATTCTTTTTGATTCGCTTCGTTATAACCCTACATACAAGTATAGAATTTGTGTTTCAAAAAAATTACACACCTCATAGATAAGATGCAATAATCATATGCAAAACCTCTGAATGCGAAGGATCATAATATATTAAAAAGAAAATGAGAAATATTTAAAAAGAAGATATAAAATAAAATCAGACTGAGCACCGGTTTTTGGAATTACAACGAAATTGTAAATATATCTGACTAAACCAACTAAATATTCAGAGGAATACTTGTACAAGAGTACTAATCGATATCGTTCATAGAACTCATCCCTTAGGATCATGATGCGGTCAACTCATACTCGTCCGACTCTTTCAAAGCAACAACAAATTTACATGCAGCAGTGACTTCATTGAGTACAAATGTGAATTTTCACCACACAAAACTACTACTAACTAGAATGTTTGAAAAACAAACTTGTTCTCCAAACATGCAAAAAAACATAGCATTACCATTTTCTGCTCGCGCCTTCATATCCGACTAATATCACGACCGAACACGAAGGTTGTCAGCCAATTGATTGCCACGTAAAATCTGTTCCTCCAGCTTATGACACGAGTGAGATAAGCCGAGCGCCAAACAAACCAGCTAACAAAACCTGCCATTGATAGACCTTTTGCCTCCTAATGACAAATATTAACAATTGAGTCACCATTAGGAAATAATTGCAGCAAAATAAATTAAGGTTACTAATAATAAAACAGAATAAATTTAGTAATTTCTTGATCCACTAGTAAATTTTTCCTTTGGCATGAGTGAGTGTATGATTTGGTTACACAAGGAGTAAATAATATTTGTAATATTCTGAAAAAAAAAAAATAAGAAAAAAGAAAATTCAGTTGGAGAGCATGAAAGTAAAACCTTGCTCTGCCTAAGGTCCACCAAGGCCTTGTATCTTCCAATAGTAGCCATGCTCCCCAAGTGCCTATACACGAATGGGTTTCCAAAGTCGACATCTTTTGCAGCATCTGCACGTCCACCGCCAGCTTTCCCCAAATGGTTCAACAGTTTTGCAAGATATTTTCCCTGCCGCTCGGCCACCTGAAACAAACATCTTCTCCATGTTATGGCATTTTAAGACTGCATGGAAATTCAGAAAAAAAAAAAATTATATATATGAAATTTGTAAAGCATTACGACATTCAAGAGGGCATTTGTAATTTAAACTCAAATAATAAAATTGAATTTTTCCTCCAGCTGTTTAGAAATATTCAGTTGACTGAATGTCTTAGAAAGTGTTTAAAATGGATAAAATATGTCTCAGAATGAACTTAAAGTCTTAAACACATAACATATAGAAAAACCACGATTGATGATCCAAAGGTTGACTGAATTCGAGATATTTCAAACTTAATTTCATAAGAGCCTAATATGTCAGTATCAACCTGGGCCAGGGCTGGAAGAACGGGTCTGCCTGTACGTTCAAGAAACCCACTGCAATCGCCAATTGCAAACGCGTCTTGCACAGAAGGAATCCTTAGCCATTCATCAATCCCGATCCTGCAGGAAAACATGGAATACAGACACTTTTCTGTAAACAAAATTGGGAGATTTTTTGAAGTGAATGAATGGAGATTGTGACAGGAAATTGTGTTAAGATAACTGACTGAAACTAGAAGTCAGGGTCACTTGCATAGATTAGTGAACTGAACGCATTATAGTGATTTATTTGAACCACACCAAAAGAACTTTTCGTGTAATATAAAATGTTACAATGTAAGCTGTCTACACCGGATTGAATTGAACATTCAGAGTTGATTCAGTGGAAGTATTCAAGTGCCAAGAGTATAAGAAAAACGAACATGAGAATGGTTCACAGAACACATCCTCCCTACATACAAATGCAGAGTTTCCCGATCCTACATGTCAACTTCTGGTGCTTCGTAATCCTATATGCCAAATTTTGGTGCTTTGTAGTACTCCATATAGATTTGGACTTTATCCACGCCTATTAGGACTTTTATAAATTTCACTTAATCAACTTAAATTATAAATATATTTTAAAAAGTTATTAGTTATGGATTTTTTAAATATGATATATCAAATTATTCATAATTGAAGATCTTTCATTTGATATCCATATTGCATATAGAAAAAAAATTATCTACCTTTATAAGTAAAAACTAAATTATATAATATATTCTAATTGGAAAATAATAAAATATAATTTATTAACTAAGTTTAATTATCAAGTGATTATATGATGAGTTAGAAAAATTATTATAAAATACGACGAGCAAATCATACTGTTGTTTTAAATAAAAAAATAATAATTGTTTAAAAAGCATTTAAAAATTTAATAAAAACTTTTTTTATTTTTAATTTTTTAAGTACATATTTTTTAATTAACACCTATGTGGTGTTATAGCACTACAAAATTTAGTATTATCTGCAGTTCCCCTAGTCCAATAGACCCAAATTCACCCGTCAATGTACAAAGACTGTAATCCCCCGTCTCAGAAGAACCATATATAACGAACAACAGAATCACCCCTAAGGTTTATCCTATTTACATACACATGAATTGTCATCTTTTGATTTACTAAAAAGTATTAATACACAGTAATTTTTTTATGCCATGAGTAAATACGCAGTATAACTTCTATTATGAAATGCGGATGTTCTCAAGCGTTCTCCAACAGAAGGACTTACATTTCCAGAAAGGTGTGTAGATAATTTAAAAGGCGGAAAGGAAGAAAGCTATTCAAGGGGCAAAATGTTTAATACCTTCCACCAGGTGCTTTAGGAACTTCGAGGGAACTCACAAATGGAGAAGGACCAACACCTGTAGACCACACCAGGACACCATACGGAATATCTGTATCATCACTGAGGATTATCTTATCAGATTGGACATCCTTCACAATCCCTCGGACAAGACGGACTCCTGACTGAGAAACTGATGTATCAATATCAAATAATTACACAGATATTAAAACAAAAATAAATTAAAACAAATAAAAGATGAATGTTGCATAAGCCAAAAAATTGTTACAGGAGTATCAAATAATTACACATTTTACAATAACATGGAAAACGACTTAAAAAACCTTTTATCTTTTAAATAATAATCATAAACAAAAAAACTTCCAAGTGAAATGCAAAAATAGTTTCTGCGAGTAATTACTCACCTTTGTCAGTTGCTTAATTGCATACCTCCTGAGTCGATCATCAAAGGATGACAGTATTTCATTCGCCTGCAAGGTAAGAAAACGTAGGATGCAGAACATAAAATAATTAATAAAATGATTAGACCTTTGGCTCCCACTATGGGGCTTTGACTTTATTCCCTTCAATAGATAACATGTTCTCGCAGAAATTTTGAAAGTCTAACCTCGACCAACGTGACATGAATGTAATCTTTCACATGTGCATATCTTTGATGAACATCTCTCTGTATGAAGTCACTTAGTTCGCCACTGAACTCAACTCCTGTAGGACCACCTCCAACAACAACACAGTGAAGGAGCCTACGCTTTTCTTCTTCGCTAACTCCTATTTTAAAAACAATATTCAACAGTGATTTATAAAACATAAATACTTGCACAAGATTTGATAGAGTATTACAAAGCTAACCTTGACTTTTAACCCTTATAAAAATTACAGTAACAACAATGATTCAACGTTAAAATTAGCTACACAAAGTATTATAAAGAACCCCTTAAGGACTATATTTTAGCTAGTTTTTTGTTTTTTGTTTCTTTATATCTTTCAATTTCTTTCCTTGTTTTTCTCTGTGAGAGAGAGAGTCTCATACCGGGCACATCTGAGAGCATCAGATTTAACAGCAGTTTCCTCCTGATCTCCTGAGCATGATAAACTTCACGAAGGAAGACAGCATGTTCTTTTGCGCCCTTAATACCAAATGTAGAAGCCTCAGCTCCAGAAGCAATTACTAACTTGTCATATGCGATTTTGAAGTTCCATGGATCTATGGTGTCAGCTCCTTCAGTTACAGTTTCACAGTGAATCTGGCAAGAAATTTTGGGTTTTATTGAATGAATCTATATTTACTATTCAGTACACAGAGTTATAAATGTGATTGAGAATGGGTTCAAATCAACAGGCTCATAGTATTTTATCAACTTCAGATCATCTAGGCTCAACATCCAGAATAATAAAATCCCGAATAAAGATAATATTCTGCCACTTCCAGCTGAAATTACCTTCTATAAAATTGAACTTGTTCCACAATCCACAAAATTATCACATGACACACTAGTTAATATCTAAAGGTAGGAAACTTAAATCCAGCATCTGTTGCAAGCAGATGATGGTACCGGGAAGATACTTCAATCAGTACACGTGTCCTCAAACTTTTAGTCTGTGACTCAGTGTGAATACCACAGGATAACAACACACCAAGTACTTGCAAACCCAGCATACAAAAATCCCACAAGCATTACATGGAAAGATAGAAATTACAAATGTGCATTGCAAGTAATTAAGAACAACAAAATGTAGAATAAAAACTAACTCAAGGTATCACCAACTCAACTCATATTATTTCCAAACAAATTTCTCGAAGTATTTTGGCAGCCTCAAGAGCATACAGATTAGACTTACAGTTAGAACACTTCTTCCGAAAAATATTTCCCAATGCCCACATACTATTTCTATTAGCAAATTTTATTTTTCACAGATGGTTCTACAAGAGTATTCACACCTCCAATATATATAAGCAAGTCAAGACATTTACCATAAAATGTACATGAGGGAAATACAGAATAGGCGGCTCCCTGTATGTTGTGTGTGTGTATGTGTGTGGTTCTTTGTATCATTTTTCTTGAAAGTTGTTTGCTAAACACCCTTTGCTTAAATTTTTCACCTTACCAGAGCATTCCCACTGACATACCGCAGTATAAATTAAAAGGCAAACCTAGTTCTGGAGTGCAAGGAAAAATAGAACTTTCATTAGCTTATTGCTCATAATATAATCTACTTGACAGCTATATTAGACTTTTCCGTATTGGACTGTGTACAGTCCCTTTCTACATTTCGTTGTCAAGCTCTATGTCACATATTCCCTAGCAAACTTCAAATAAAAATCTATAAACAATGCAAAGACTGGTATGAGGTAATAGTATACACATTGCTAGCGAAAAAGGCAGCACATAAAACTTGGAATCCAGAACAAACTCCTTTACTAAAATGAAATCACAAAAATGGAATACCTGGTGTTTCTGGAAGTCAACACCGGTACAGTTGGCCAGGAAGAAGTAAGAACCGGGTTCACGAGAGATCGCCGGCTGGATCCTGCCAATCGGCTCGGCCACGGACCGGAACTCGAGGGTCCCGACGCACGTGGAAGCGAGCAGGGGCGTGAAAACCATGTGATTCCTGGGGGATACACACACGATATCATAGATCTTCGTGTCGATGTCCTTGATGAGCCTGCAGCCGGCCCAGCCCGAGCCCAAAACCACCACTCTGGGCTTCTCATCGCGCTTCGTGGGCCCCAATCCCGGCTCCCTGTTGCTCTGAGCGGCGGCGCTGAAATGCTGCAGCAATTGGGCGATCGACGGCGGCGGACCGAATACAGCCGCCGATCTGTGTGGCGGCAGAGGCCGTTGCCTGGTGAAGGCGATGGACAGCTGGATGAAATTTCCGAACCACGGCATGGTTTAATTTAGCAATTCTGTATCTCGTCTGTTGATTCGATTATTATCACTGTTGGGGTTTATTGGTGACGGGTTTGACAGATGAAGAAGAAAATGTGACTCCGAAGAAATTGGGGAATTGAGAAAAGGTCCTGAGGAGGTGCGAGGGCGGCGGCGGCTGACAATGATAGGAGATTGGAGTCAACACATGGCGGTCACACGTAAACAGTGAGACTCATAGAAGACGATTCAGATTATTTTATATTTTTTTGTACAAACTATTTATTCTTTTTTTTTTCTTTAGTAATCTCTCTTTTTGAGGTGGGTGGATGCAAATGTTCCAATATAAGATAGTTTTGATTTTGTTTGGAAATTTTTATTTAGTATGATTAAATTTGAAAAACATGATATAATTAATTATTAATGTGATTTTGAGTTCACATTGAAATAATATTTAAGATCATCACGAGCGCAAGCACTACACCAGAATTGACGTTTTGTGTTGGAGTAGCGGAATATTCTCGCCTAAGACTGCGCCAGACGTGAATATTTTTGCGCCATATAGGACTTCACATGTTGCAATACGCTACATTTTTTGTTTTTTGATGTATTTTAATATAATATTATTAGTAAATTTTTATATAATATATACTAATAAATATTTTTTATGCTAAATAACTGTGTGCAATGTATTTTTCATGCTAAATAATTTTTTGTGCTTTTTTATTGATGTATTATAATTTTACATTGTAATCTTTTAATATAAAATGGTAACATATGAATAAAAATTTAACACAATCAAACAAGTAGATTTCATTAAAGATAAAAGTGTACAACACACGTAAATCACAAAATACACAAATAAAACAACATAATATTAAAATCAAAAGTTTATGACACACATAAATCACAAAATACACAAATAAAAACAAGATAATTAAAGATGACTTGAAAATCTAAGAATCACATGAATAATATATTTTTTATCCTAGTAGTCTCCCAAACCACTTCCACGCCCGCTAAGATCTTCAAAAAACTCACTGATAGAATCAAAAGTGTTATTGGTTTGTGATGTCTGCGATGATTGCCCTTTTTCTTTTTCAAAATTCGTTCTTGCTCATTTTTAAAATATTCACGACGGCGATTATCTCGTATGGAATTCAAATTCATCATCAAAATTTGTTTTCCTTTGTCCATGTGGTGGTCTTAACAAATTGTTTTCATAGTTCATTTTTTTTCTCTTGGATTGTAATTTTTTGTCTCATCATCTCATTGTCTTGATCCCTCTTCATTGTTGAACTCATTATCATCTCTCTAAATTTTTTATTTTTCTCTTTCATTGTCTTGATAATTGCAGATACGTCTTCTCAGTGGCGGACACAAATATAGGCTCAATTTTTTGTGTTAAAATAGTTAATATGTGCTAATAAAAAATTTATATTTAATGTGTAAAAATATAAATACAAATTTTTAATTGAAAATTTTAAATAATTTTTACAAAATAACATTATTGTTAATTTAAATTGATATACCTCACCGATCAGATTCGAGGATATTACATTATAACATTTTTAGTACTTATGCTATATAATAAGCTTGATAGATAAATTTATTGTTTTTCAATTATAATTGATAAATATTTTGATTTTTATTGATAGATATCAGATAGATATAATTATTTTAATTTACATATAAAATATGAATGTGAGATTATATATTGTCAAACTATGACTAATTTAAGCTATCATATATAAAAAAAATGATAATATATACAAATGCTATTGACTTTTAAAATATATTTACAATTTAAGTTACCCAAACGTTTAAATTTGAAAGTTCTGGACAATGATTAATATTTGTATGGACTATTTCGAACCCTTAGTAATTAAAATATAGAATTACAAAGCGTTGAAAATTGACAAAGAAAAACTCTATATTTATCTATAAGAATATAATCCATAAGAAAATCTTTATAAAATAACAATAACAAAAACGATGACATTTAGGCTTTTCTTAAATTAATGAATTATATTTCAAAATGACTTTTTTATTTCTTATTACAAAAAAATGAAGGAAAAAGGATTGTATAATAATTTTTGTAAATTTCTTAATAATAATAATAAAAAAATAAAAAATAAAATAACCAGACCTCATTCTCAATTTCATTTTTTAGCATTAAGTCAATATTTCTGGATCAATTTAGCATCAATTTCATTATTTCAACGATTTATTGAATTGTTAATATAAGTACTTTGTGCAATATAGTTAAAATTTTATTCGAACTATTTTTTGCCCTGGCTCGTGAAATTTTCTGGATCCGTCGCTGCGTCATCTCTTTAATTTCTTTTAAATGTTGTGATGACGAACCACCACTAGCATTTTCATCGCTTAAATTAATGAAAAAATTAGATAGTTCTGGATTAGGTGAAATGGGAGACTCGGATTGTGCATCTGATTGCGGTTGAGATGAAAACGTGTTTCGCCTGGTTGATGTGCACTCGAAAAAAGTAAAATCTTTCATAATGAACCAAACATAATTGTACATGAATGGTCGATTATTTTTATTTTTTGGGTTTTGCGTATAAAGTATAGCGGTTGAGATGAAAACGTGTTTCGCCTGGTTGATGTGCACTCGAACAAAGCAAAATCTTTCATAATGAACCACACATGATCGTACTTGAACAGTCGATTACTTTTATTTTTCAGGTTTTGCGTATAAGGTATATTCGCACGCTCCATCTGCAATAAAAAAATGAATAGCATTAGAAAATATTAATATTTTTATAAATATAATTAAATAATGTGTGTAAAATTTCTTACCACATCATGATCAGAAGCTCCACTGTTGTTTGCATTTTCAATTTGCTCCACACAAGATTTGAAAAGTTTAATAGCAATGTTGATATTTTCCATACAATATTGGATCAATCTTTGTGGACGATTAGGCCACACTGGATTGGGTTTTGTAGAATTATACTTGTTCATTACACGAAGTCATAATTGATCTCTACTTTGATATATGCCCACCTCTGGATCTTGAGAAATTGCCATATAAGACCGACAGAGGTGTTGATCTTCACTCTAAGTATAGTTTGATCCCATAGCAGAAATTACTACATGAAAATGGATTTAAAACGTAAAGAAAATTGCTAAAATTATATTTTGGTGGTACATTATTTTCCATTACCATGTAGCTTATTTATCGTATATTTGATTTTAAATGATAAGAATCGTACGGTTGATATTCGTGATAGAAAATCTAATTTTACGGCTCATATTGAAAGTTGTGAATTTCCAATATCAACCGTACGATCAAAAATCAAGATTCTACGGCTCAGATTAAAAGTTGTGTATGTTTTTATCTAAAATATCAACCGTACGATAAAAAATCAAGATTCTATGGCTCTGATTGAAAGTTGTGGATTTTCTTATCTACAATATCAACGATAAAATCAAAAATCAAGATTTCACTGCTCATATTAAAAGTTGTGGGTTTTTTTATCTACACTATCAACCGCACGATCAAAAATCAAGATTTTACGGCTCAGATTGAAAGTTGCGGGTTTTCTTATCTACAATATTATTCGTACGATTAAAAATCGAGATTTTATAGCTCATACTGAAAGTTGTGGATTTTCTTATCTACAATATCAACCGTACGATTGAAAATCAAGATTTTACGGCACATATTAATAGTTGTGGATTTTTTTATCTACAATATCAACCGTATGATTCTTGTCTATGAAAATCAGGATTTTACGGCTCAGATTAAAAGTTATATATTTCTTTTCAACTATTTATACAGAGTTTTTTCACACTATATATTCATTCGTTAACTCTTGCTTTTTCCAAAATAAAAATTTGAATGTCAATCACATTGGTACTTCTTACGCATTTTCTTCTTCAAGTTCATCTGATGACGAACTTGAACAACTACTAAATAGTTATGATACAGAGCAACATCTTATAGCACAACAATTTTACAACAATAATATTCTTGTACAATAATTTTTCATAACCCAACAAGGTGGTCGTAGCCATGGGGTTCAATTCTTGGTCGAAAAACAATATTTCGCGATCGATAAGCAGCTGCAAATCGCCTTTTTAACGATTATTTTTCTGAAAACCCAAAATTTAATGAAAATATGTTTCTTAGACATTTTCGGATGTCTATAAAATTTATTTTTTTGTATAGAAAATTCAGTTAAAAGTCATGATGATTATTTTGCAGCAAAGAGATGCAAATGGTAGAATCGGATTGTCCACCTATCAAAAGTTAACTGTCGCGCTTCGAATAATAGCATATGATATACCACTAGATGCAAATGATGAATACTTAAATATTGGAGAGTTCATCGCAAATGAATGCGTAAAGAAATTTTTTCGTGCTATTGTAGAGATATTTGGAGAGAAATATCTACGATCTCCCAATGTCAATGACATTGCAAGACTCCTTTATATAGATAATCAACGTGGCTTTGCAGGAATGTTAGGTAGTCTAGATTGTATGCATTAGCATTGGAAAAATTGTCCAACGGCTTGAGCAGGTGCGTATATAGGACGTGGTAATCTCCAACTATTATTCTAGAAATTAGGGCCGATTGTGATCTTTGGATATGGCATGCATACTTTGGTATGCCTGGATCCAACAATGATATTATTGTATTAGAGAGATCCCATTTATTACTCGAGGAGTGTTGATGTATGAAAATGTACCAACAATATTCGAACTGCGTACTAGAATGTACACTCAGTTTGGTCTGCGCGAATAGGGTTATTACGAGAAATTGGGATGAATGGATATGCTATTCGTGACTTTAAAGTGTATTTATTCTGAGAGGAATATTCTCATTACATTTAATGTTACATCTTCTTCCTTTTATAGGAAATGTGAGGTCTTGTTACAATCCTCTTTGGGATTTTCATTTTTCATTTTTCATTTTCTTTTATGAGATATTCTATAGATATTTAGTCACACCACATTTAATGCCTATTACTACATAATCTAATCCCGATATAAATGATGGACCCGGCCTACGACACGTGTCTCTGTGGATTTTGCGCCATCAAATCTATAATTATCGGATCCCGTCGCATTTAATGCATATCGTACAGGCAATCCATTGCTATGATTACCGCCATTCGAACGCTTCCGCCCCTATGTATTTGTTTGTACCGTATGTTCAATACGACCCGTGGTCTTCAAACCTCTACCAAGCACGAATCCGCACAACTCCCACGTTTTGCTAGAATATTCAGTGTTCGGTCAATATCCCGTACAGAGGCCCCCAAGTTCGGACAACATGGACTGAGCCAATCTTGGACGTGTTGTCTAGAATTGTCTTAAT